AGGAGAACGCTGGTGGGGAGATCATATTCTCAATGGTTCTCACTTTCTCACTTATATAATATAGCCTTTCTCCTTCTCATTTAGCTTCTGCATCGTTCAATCTTGCAGAAGCTGAACAACAAGCCGGGAAGCAAAAGAAACACACCTGAGAACAGGAAGGGGGGTTTGAACGAGCTAAGCAGAAATTGAACTGCCACTAGGCCAAGAAAAGAGCCCTCTGTGATGGGAAGAACTTGTGAAGAAAAGGGCCACGATTGACAAAACACGGGAACAGCTAGATCAAAAAGGAGCAAATTAGTTTGACACCAGGAAGAGATGAATAAGGAGGGAACCTATATAACTGAGAGTCGAGCAAGCAGTTAAAGATTGACAGTTCTTGATAAACATGATAAACATTACACGTACGTATATATGAAAACATATATATATATAGTTATATTAAATAGATTCTAAATAACAGCAAGCATATAAACAGTAAAATTGACTACGTTATATCGTTTTCTCCTGGGCGAGGCTTGGAACAAGAAACGCACGAAAAAACACATGAGAGATGGGACAAACCTATTCTAGCAAACTTGTGAAAAAGGAAAGGGTAGCTACACAAAGAAATCAAAATACAGCATGAAGGGAAATACTTACCGATTGATTGAACACTTGCCATTTGCTCCGTTTCTCGGCACCTGCGTCTCCTCAAGAATTCCAATCTTGAACAACAAAACACGGCATTCACCAAGCTAACTGTGTACGGAGGGTGGGACTTTGAGCCTTGAAGATGCTATGGAAGCTTCATTGCTACAATTCAAAGCAATCAGCAGTCAACTAGTGCATGCTCACAGCTGCCATGCCCGGGAACCTTCGACATCCCAGGAACCGTCCTGCATGTGAGACCACCCATAGCGCTCCCCCAAGTAGATGGCCTCCCGGTCATCATGAGAGTCCAAGACCCGCAGCAAGCGAGGGACGTTCACCAAGGTATCATCATCCGTGACCACGTACCACCGCCGGTCAGGCTCGAAGCGGTGCAAATACCTGGCGCTCTCTCTCTCAAGCCGTCATCGGTGGTCTGGGACGGTGCCTTGGTCACCTTGTTAGCCAACGAGGATCAGCCTTTGGTTGCTTTCCTCAAGTGAGAATCTGGGGCTTGGACTATGATGAAAGAAATCCTGTACCACCCTGATCATGCACGGACAGTGGTCAATGGTGGGGAAGCGTGGCCATACAAAAGGATCAAAAAGGGCACATGTCAAATCTGTCAAATCAAAGCACCTGAGTATTGCTTGCATCTTTGTGCAATGGCCACTCCCCTGTTTGTTGGACTCTTTCTTGGGGTCCACCATGTCGCCAAAGTCGACGCTCAGGTCGATGATCTTGGCCTCATCACCACCTCAGCTGAGCCATTCCCCTCGACTAGGCCAAACAGTCAAGGACCACAGCTTCCACCCTTGACTATTCAAGACTGCCAAACACCCAGTGTCGTCTGGCTCGTCTTGAAAGTCATGAACCATTGCTCCGGGTCGGTGACGTTGAGCTCGAAAAAACCGCCTGTAACCGTTTCACCAAGCGTACGGGACGCAGAAGCTTTACCAGCAAAAAGGAACCGTCCTTACGTGAACGATTTATGGAAGTACGGAGGCCATTTTTCTTGTCTGAGCAACCTCAAAATCGCAAGATAGGTGAATCAAACATTTAAACTTATCGTTCCATGCCCCTTCATGCTGTCGCCAGTTGATCCGCACATTCAGTCTCTCCAGCTGAGGAACCAGTGTTACTCATGTAGAGCACCTGCACAATGCTTTCATCGGCCCAGAACTCTTTCAACAGCGGCAAACGGATTGGGTGGAACTTGTCAACCGTCTTAACAGCGATAACCTCGTGACACAGGGTGAGCAAAATATATCGTCAACAGTGTCCACTGATGCCAATCCTCTCTAAGCTGGTCTCAAACAAGCCCCCCTCCTTGACACGCTCTTTCTTTGTCCTTTCATCTCTCTCTCTCTCTCTCTCCACATGGTGCAAAAAACGCCTGACTCACAAGTATATATAGTTGTTTTGTTTTATAGATTTAATTTATAGTTGGACACATTCTCTATACCTAAAGTTTAAGTTCTACCGCAACTGTAACATCACAAACTCATGATGCCTTAGGCAATCTCTGCGCCCGGTCACACTACATATAGCATTATATAGCTAGCCAACTGCCCACTGCCAAGCCAAAAACAGTGGCTGTTCTATGTAAAAAACGCAGGCCAGCTCTGGCCTTGCATCCAGGGTTCTACGTTGGGTAAATAAAGGGTATACGGTATACGCGTGTATACGCATGTATGCGTTACAAACCAGCATCTCGGTTGACTGGACACCACAAGACCAAATGGTTGATTGTTTGGGGCATCTTGGGGCCCAAACCTACAAACCCAAGCTTGGGTCGACATCCGTGGCAATACATATAATATATGTTTGTGATTTTTGTGGTTTTGCAGGACTTGCAGGTTTTGACCTATAAACACATCAATCAATAGGTGCCTTGAACTGAATTGCACAAAGGTTCTTGACCGAGTCACTTGCATGCGTGGGGAATACGGCTCGTCTAGTCAGCGCACGCGTGGAAAAGAAGGTTTCCGACTTGAAGTGGTTTCCTCTTGTTTCACCCCATCTCCCCTGGATTTTCTACAACTCTGCTTATAGTGGCTTATTGAATCATGCGCACCGAGCAGCGACCTCTTCAGGTCTCAGTCCCTGGGTGGCCCGAAAACGGTCCAGCGGACGCACCCACGTTGCACAGTGCGGGCGTGGTTCGCGGCAAAACCCCTCATGGTGCGTAATGAAGATGCCCATCTTGCCTCTGCGAGATACATGAAAGTGAGTCATGTGGCTTAATGTGGGTCATGTGATGTGGCTCCAAGAAAGTGTGAAGGAAGAAAACGGAGACCCCAACCCCCTGCTAGAAAGAAACCGTAGGTACATTCCGAATCTACTTTTGGGGTGACTGCAACATGGACGTGGAAACCTGTTTGTACAGGAAAATATTGTGTCTCAGGCTGTCACGGGGCATGCCTGTCGTCCCCTCTGGGGAGGGGGCGCGAACTGGGTCATGCCATTTTCCATCGGTGTAGATCGCCATGTTTCAGTGAACCACTCCTTGTGTCGTGACCGTTTGCTGGAGAGCCATGACATTATCCACGTCGATATACCCCAGCCATGAGATGATCATAGCAAAGACCACCCTTGGAATGTGTTCGGCTCATTTACGGGTTACACGCGCCAAGCTTCCAGAAGACATGAGTGAGGCATGTTTTTCGAGGAAGCACCTCATTTAGCAGAGTGGGAAGACGAGACATTCTTCTATGTTTGGGAGTTCTTGGGATAGTATAATGTTTATTGGAATTCCTTTTTGCTTTGTCGAATTTTTTCAATTTGGAAATCGACCCACTCGACTCTCAAAGGGTGTACGGAGGTTCTCAATTTTGGTAATTTGTGGTTTTAGCGAGAATTGCGCTTCCTGAAAGTCGTGCTTGATGGCGATCTTTTTGAAGACTCTGATGTTATGATGGGCATTTAGGTCCGTGGCTGTAGATTTTGGAGAATTGAATAGAAAGTAAGAAAACTAACATTTTGCATTCACGGGAACCATAGAAAATTCATTTTCTGTCCTTCGGTGGAAGCATAGAAATTAAATATGAAGTTTTCTGTCTGCCCAACTTTTGTCTTTCAGCAAACCATGATTTTTTTTGTTCAATCAAACTTTCTGTGACTATAGGGAATGCATAACAAGTATTTTCTATTTTTTGCTAGAAGGCAGAAAGTTAAGTTTTTGTGTAGCCGCGAACCATAGAAAATTAACAATTGCAATTTTTTGTCTTGCTGCAACCCATAGAAACTATGTTTTTGTCTTCCCGCAAACCATAAAAATGCCAATTGACTTCACTTCACTTAGATTAAATTATCATGGATGGACCGTGACGGACCCAAGCACTTGCAAAGAGTGCGGTATGTGGTATGCTGCTTGCCGGCCTGAGCCGTCATTTTGATATTTCATATTTCGTCATAGCGAAAACACGCAGTGGCGAGTGAGTTGATGATCCAGCCTTCTCGTCTTTTTCCTTCGCTGCATACGACCCAGTTGCCGCGCGACGCTGAGGTGTACAGACTTTCTCTTTGTAAGCTTCCCATATAGGGCGTCTGGTAGCAGTTCATTTAGTCTTGCCTGGGTAGGATCTCACTTACTTATTTCATCCTATTTCGGCTTATCCACAAGAGGGTGGATTCTTTTCATGCGTGGCCGTGGCCGTGGCCGGGGCCGGATGGCCGTGGTCGGATGGGCGTGACCGTGGCCGGATGGCCGGAAACAAATCAACATCTATATTGTGAAGGGTGGATCTACAATGGATCTTGCTTCTTCTCTCACTTGTCCTTTTTCACACTTGGCTTCAAAACCTTTTCGGTGTGATGATGTAGATATGCCATTCTCATAGTGTCATAGTGTTATTTTCGGTTACCTACCTGATACCTATCCAAGGGGGATCAACAAAGCGGGATCGATCCGGAAAAGGGCAATTTTCCACTTCCTAGATTTCAGGAGTGAACGATTGAGCCTGGTTGTAGGCAACGCATGACAACCCATCAACTCTGTAGGGAATGGGGATGAAATTATCATGCCCGGATTTCGGCGAACAAGGCAGCTTTCCAAGCCATCTTTGAAGGAAAGCCCTGCTCGGTTCGCACACGGTGGCAAGCGTTCTCACAAATTTCACAACCAAATCCTGCACCAAGCAAGATTCTACATATTCTACAGCTGGCTCTGGGCCACCACAGCTGCCAACATCATGACCCCCGAATCCTCACCAATATTCGATCACACATTCCTCACGCACTCCCACGGATCTCGGTCTATCTCCGTCTCAGGGCCCGTCTGCGTCAAGAGACCCAGTCGGCTGGCCAGCTCCCAAACAGGTTCGATCTGCTGTCCGCTTCCCACCGGCTTCTCCTCCAAGTCCTTGAGAAGCTTTTTCAAGAGCCCACCGCTTAAAGCCTCGGATTGGATGACATATGTGTGGACATCACTTGGAAGACACACATGCATTGCGGTTGGGGGTGTCCAAAATAGCCTGAACAGAATGAAGTGTCCTTTGGACCTGTTCGTGGCTGTGATGTGTCTCAAGGAATAGGAATCGATAGTAATCCTAGATTCTGACACGGCAAATTCCAACCAATGTGGCTATATGGGGCTTGTTCAAATCATCCCCACAAACATTCGTTCTCAGGGTAATAGCAATATGTTGGTTGGGCTCATTCACAAACGAATCGAGAATATCCCGCCACAGGCACTTCTAAATTCCTTCAGCAGGGGACCTTGTCCAAGCCCTCATGAGGTGAGTTCTTGAGGATGGTGGTGATTACTGTGATGACCATGGTGGCAGTGGCAAGTACTGGCAGACGCTTATGGTATCTTATGGGGCAGGCCTAATTCATCGGCCGTGAGTTTGATCACAGGGCCGTCTTGTTTATCGAGTTTGCTCACATGCATAGCTGCGTTGTTTTTTTGGCATAGTCTCTGATAAGCCGACCTCCTCACAGTTTGACCAAGGGGCGAAGCCTGCATGGACTAGAGGGTAAGCTGGTTCTTGTTGATAATGATGAATAATTGACATCTGATCATCTTGAAGAGAACGACCAAGATACCTGGAAGGCCAAGCCAGTGCCGTGAAACGCAGTCTGCCAGGTCCGTAGTTACTACTTGAAGATAGGCAAAGGGACAGCTATATATATATATACTTATGTAACTTATAAATGTGTATATATATATATATATCATCTCCTACCAACACCGATAGTTTGCACATAAGGGACATGTAGACGGCTCCGTACGGGCGCCCAACTGATCAATACGGAACGTGGCAGTTCGTTCCGCTGCCGGTCCCTTCGATTCGTCAAGTCGCATGTGTTTAACATGAACAAGCGAACGGGTCATACACATTCCAGATCATTCCATCACATTCCCCCAAGATCCATACCGGTTGCTTGGGCCAGAGATGGAACCAAGGTGTATGTCAGTTGATGTCAGCAAAACAAAAGGTCCGAGGCGCCACGGTTCTCTGGCGTCATACTGGGCCAGTAGTAGTTCCAAAGCTTTGGGATCTACCATGGTGGCGGCCTGCAATGGTTGGGCTGGCCACGAAACGGCCCAACACGATTCAGAGGTGAGAAAACACTCCCCAAATAGACGAGAATCATCGAGAATCGGCTTCGGCGCGATAGATGAAAGAAAACAAAAACTGTTTCAGATTGTTTCAGAAACATTGGATCAAACATGATCAAACCGAGAGCACAATGGTGGTATGACATGGGAAGCATGCTGCATCAATTGAGAGGAAAGAAAACAACAACTGTCATGGAAACACTATTGCGTCGATAGCTGACATCTTCTAACACACTGTCGCTTGCAGGTTTGCTGGGCAGGTCCATGTGGTCCATGGGGGAGCGAGGTTTGCATCAACATCAGCGGCCATTTCGCACAATGGCCGCCCCAACCCGTGACGCCGAAGGCCTCCAGAAAAACCACCCAGCGTTCACCAGCAGAGCGCTTGCCAAAGCGCTTCTTCTCTGTTTGCCAGATCCAGGGAAAATAACTCCACAAGCCGCTATGTTTCAACTCCTGCAAGTGGCAATGGCCATATGCCAAATCCATCAGAAGTCTAACGTGAACTGGCTGGCAGATCAGCACTTGGCGCAAGTGACCGCTCATGTTCTTATTTGAAACCGCCGACTTTCGCTTTTCTTTTTCGTGGAAACCTCCCACAAGTGGCCCAACGGCAGGTGTTCGATAGGAATGGTGTGTCATGGTTACAACGACCCATGTTCGGTGCTACTCTGCAACAGAATCTCCGGAATGCACACAGCGGCTTGCTTTTGCACCAATTCCGTTGTGTGAAGTGGATCGACGGTTGTTGCTGGAGCGTCTCGTGGGGCGTGGAACATCCAAGTCGTCTGCGAAACAAAATTAATGGACGACCCAAGCCGAATCTATGAACTGAGTGGTTCTGCCGATTCGGCTTTCTGGTCCAAACTATATGAATATACATCTATGAATAATGATACCAGCATAGACCCCAAACAGCGTCAGCATTTTTTTCGGCGTCGGCGTCAACTCCGAAAGTTCCAATGTTGGTGGAAACAAATGCAAGTATACTTTTCCAAAGCCTCCAGCTGTTTGGGAACTGCACGCCCGGACACAGAGCCGGGCCACAGAGTTCAGGGGCGCGGCCAAGACAAGGACAAGACCCGGACACAAAGCCATGCCACAGAGCCCAGCCACAGAGTTCAGGGGCGCGGCCAGTGAGTGTGGCCAGCTCTATTTTTCTAAGATAGAACCCCAACAGTAAACTGTTTGGGGAAAAATCTATGGACCACTGATGGTTTTCTCCTCAGTTCTGCCGAAACACCTTCAGTCTCAATGGACCACGGAATTTCCACCCGTCCTCCTCGGCCTCTTTCATGCTCACGACCGTCGTGTGGGACCAACCAGCGTCCACCACGGCGGCCAGAACTTCGTTCAACGCACCAGTCCTCGGTAGAAAGACGACTTCGTTTTGACTAACGTAGACATGTAGACTCTTGAGGAACATACACCCCCCATATGAAGAGATTCTTCAATTCAAACGGGGTGGGGTTATTAATCAAGAGTCTACATTAGACTCGATCACCATGAATTTCCAACAGATTTCCAGGTCAAGCGTGTGGAACCGATGCCGGTGATGAAAGATGGACACACACACACAGTAAGCCCAATAAAGCCCTATAAGCGTGAGCCTGTCAGCCTCGGCTAAACAAATCAGCACTGCACAGACTGACTCATGATTACTCATGCTTGGACAACTTGACAAAATCCACCTTGAGAGGCCTGTTGCTCCCGTGTTTTTTCTCAGATTGCAGCCAATTGCAGCCATGTTTCTGATGAACAAGACCTTGGGAACGCACATACCTTGGACCCAGGCACTTGGCTCACCCCGAGCTGTGCCTCGCCCCCCGCCCGAACCGCGTGACTCGTCACTCGAATCGTCGTTAGACGTCCACGACGATCGCAAAACACCACGTGGCGCGAGGCGGCGCGAGGTAGCGGCGCGTGGTGCGATTGGATTCGTTGAAGATCTGATGCGTTTCTTTACATGTGCTTTCCGGTCTCCTAAGCCGGTGGGGAGGGAGACTGCCAAAGACAAACACACCCTCCTGGAGCTCCAGGATCTGGTAGGGTTGTCAGTGGATGATGGTTTTGCAATGTTTTGGAAAAGGGTCTGACGTCTGAAGATTGTGCCGATCAAGGAGGTTGTTTAGTGGGCGAAGATTTGATCATTGACCCAATCGTACCATTGGATCATTGGAGATCAATTTTGCTGCTCTTTGAAGCTCAATCCATGGTGCAACGTGATGTCTACAGCGGATACCCATCGAATACAACGCAGCAACAGAAGAAAAGCGAGTCGAAAGCCAAACCACATGGCACAGGCAGCGGCAGACGCACTGTCGTTTGAACAGGAGTTGCTGATCTTGAGTCTTGTGCATCTGACAGCACAAGCTGGTTTTAGCCGAAAGATACTGTATCAATTGGTTATATATAATATATAACTATATTATTGCCCATGCCATACAAAAGTAAAGTGCATTGTGTGCTGCAACTGCTCATCAACCACTGCGCCTTCTACCTTGCTGCAAAGCTCTGTGCATCTGGCATGAAAAGATTTGATATGGGCCAAACATTCAGGGAACTTAGTTGCTGAGCACAGTGTCCTGGGACATGATTGCACATGAATCCACTTCTCCAATTACAATGTGCTATCATGTCATCATGCTAAATCTTGCTCTTCCAAACTGGGGTCCCATTTTTAAGATCATAAGGGAACAGAAAAAAGGAGAGCGGACAGGGTGTGGTCGTAGAGTTGCAACGACTTGGTGGAAGGCAACCATGTAGCACCGTAGCACCCTCACGGATCCTCGCGGTACCAGTAGGACAATAGGCTGCAAGCCTTTTGTAATAGTCAAGACCTTCCTGGTGCAAGAGGAAGAACAAATAATGGTCTTGTCCCGTGGGCTTTCGGCTCTGGCTTCTTCAATGGGCCCGCCAGCAATCAATACGCACGCCAGCCGGCTGCTTGAGTGACCTATTTTCGATGCTGCAATCCTGGCGCTTTCACGTTCGACCCGTTCCTGCGCTCGCCATCGCCGAGTTCGCTGCGCCATCGCCGTCGACCAAGAAGTGCCGGAGAGTGCGCCGAAACATCTTGATTGATGCTCTCCAAACCTTGCAGGGCATCCGGTGGGTCTGGGAGCTCCTCCAGAAGACTACGGATGAAAAGGTCTCCAGTTCTGCTACAATCTTCCAGTTATCCCCAGTATTTCGCATCTCCCACCACGATCGAGAAGTGTACAAAAAGTTGGCCACCTCGAGAAAACGACGATCATTGTGAATGGAGTGTTGATAGACAATGCATGAACATGCATTTAACGTGCATTTTTTTACATAATGCTTACCGTGGACGATGGTTGTGCACCTTAAAAAGCTTGAACATCACCCACCAACTGTCAGGGGTCAAGTCTAAGCTACTACAAACCCCCAAACCCATCAAACTGCATCTTTTTCTGTGTGACATCTCACAATTGCAATGAAACATCACCCTCACCTTACATCTCTCGCAGAGCGCTTGTAGTAGCTGCAGTTCCAGCAACCCTGCGGAGATGAGCTTGGTCTGCCGGTCTGCCGCGGTGCTGATCACGGCACCCCGCTTTGTCGGGCTGTGCGGGGACGTGAATGTCCATCGTTTGTCGGGCTGTTGTTTGTGCCTAGCTGTGGGATAGAACATGATAAAAGGCTAGAAAATGCTAGACTGTTTCATTCAGCATGTAAGCAACCTTTCCCCAAAACAACAGGGAAATTGCATGCAAAACCAATTATATATACTATATATACATACATATACAGTTTGTAAAAGTATTTCAAGAGAAATACTCAACGCAAATTCAAACACTTGCCTGGCTGGCAAAGCAAGCTGTTGGGCATGGACCTCTCACAAAGTTTCCAGCACGTTTTGCAGCTCTGGCGGCAAAGGTGCTTCGGCGACCAAGGGCGTGCCGTCGGGACCAATACAGCCTGGGCTGTCTTTCCAAGAGCTTATGGCGGAAAGCGATCTCCATTTTGTTCACACGACCACATTTCGTCTCACACATACTGAGTCAAGTCAGACAAATAGGGCTTCACCCCCCCCACCACCCCCAACACAAATAAGAACTGGAGGCCCTGGCAGTACCATTTTTCAGCATCCTGGTGCTCGCTGATGCTCTTTCGCCCACTCTAGCGGTGTTGCGAAACGGATGTCATGGTTGGAGATCCACCACGGGTCGGGATCCGAAAGTCTACCCCCAAAACACCTCTGAAACCAGAAGAAGATGGGAGTTGATGGGAGTTGCTGGTGAAAAAGCTACATACCAACCCATGTCGAATGATTTGGAATGCGTGCAAGTTTAGAAACACATGGCATCGGCAAACTCTTCCGATGTTGCCACGCCACTAAAGCGTCGGCAATGGAGGAAAAGCCGCGGACAAACGGACAAGCTGTCTCTCCTGCGGGCTGGCTAATTGTGGCCAACATTGGATCAAACACACCCAAAGAAAGGTTGGAAACTCGGTTCATCTCCCAGTGTTGACAGAGTGCTGGATGTTGATGGTTCTGGGAGAGGGTAGTCCCGACAGCCCTGGAAACATCAGAGGCGGGTTGTCCTCTAGATTCCCAACAGGACATGGCCTTGGCCCCAGCCAGGTCGTACGAGTAGATCACTAGATCCCTTCTACCCTACCCAGTGGGTCAATGCAAAAACCGTGGCGGCTTGACACGACGTTTGGGACACAGTTCACACGATGGGCATCTAGCTATGGTAGACATCCCCGCCCATAGATGTTCATTTACAGTATACCCGCCGCATTCCCGGTGGCTGCACCTCGCTTGCTGGGGTCGTGCTAATTAGCCACCAAACGCCACACGCCGCTTACGGGTCTTGACCGGTCCGTCGTGACTCACGTTCCGTTGGGCTCGTGGTTCCGATGGGAGACGAACCAGGCCTGCCATAGGTCAAATCTCCCAGCAGTGGACGGCCCAAAAAGGCGAAGTGCACTCCTCGGTCGGCTATCGAGTCGAGAGTCGAGTCATCGTCGGGGACGATCGGCTCGTTTTTCGACCAAGCTGGGTATTAAGATCAACTGGACGTGGTGCAGCTCGGAAGCTCCAGCATCTGATCAAAGACTTAGACTCAGACTTGCGTTTATACATAGCGACTGGGATGGCAAGACAGCCTGGGCTGGGCGGCTAGCCTGGGTTTGACCTTCGTCACACAAACGGGCCATTGAATAATATACATTGTACACATGTTGACACCATGTAAAGGTGCACCAATACAACTCTGTGATGCAACATAACCAAACTGTTCTACCTTGACATAATCATCGTGTTATTGGGATGTGTTTTTCACGTGTGGAGTTTCTGCCTCAAAAGCAAGGTCTATCTCCAAGTCATATCGATTTCGTCCCTCCTTACCGGTCTCTTGGGATTTCATCAGCCATCAAAATGCTTGGAAAGGAGATGAATGGAGAAGGCATGAAGGCGTCAACGCATCAACTCCCCTAAAAGGTTCGGGAATCTCAACAAACCATTTGCCAAAGGATGAGCTTGGCACACCTGCGATCATCTGCAGCACAGATTCTGATCTGATGAGTGCGGCCAGTGATGGGGTGAGCAGCCAGCAGCATCACTTCACTCGTGTCCTGGACCAATTCCGGTCGGAAGAATCATGAAACAGCCGACCCAGTCGGACACGGTCGTTTGTTTCTGCTGGCCGCCAGGCCGCAGCAGAGGCTCTTGGGTGGTATGAAGCCGGTATCCCATCGACTTTGGGCCAAACAAACCATCCTGGTGGTGGCCTCCTGGCTCAAGCAGTCTTATGATGCTGCTTGTATAGTAAAACGCGGTACAACGCGTTAAGTATGATTCACAATGTAAACTAGAAAAATATAGTGCTCGCCTTGCCCCTGTATGTCTATTTCGTCAGAGCTAGCAGCAGCTAATCCGAAACCCATGCAGGAAACACTACTGAAGAGATTCCTCTGCACATTTGATGGCAGCTCATTCTTGAACACATGCATTCATGCTCATTGAAGTTTCATGCTCAGTCAGTACGGCATCTAGTAACTACTATATATATATTATATACATTATAATCTGTACTTCAATCGATATCATCAAATCAAAGGCTCCTCAGCCCACTGAGCACCTCTGCAGGAAAACCGCCTCAAAACCTGGTGAGACTGGCCAGCTCCGAGTGCGGTCCAAAGGAAGCCAGCTCTGGGGGAGCCAGGTCTGAGCATTCCAAGCACACTTCTAAAAACTCCCCAACAACTGAACACATCCAGGCTTTTGCAGAATCAACTTCAGCCGCGCAGTCAGCTTCCCAACGGAGTCTTTTCAGCCAACGGGGAGACTCCTCGCGCTTCCCGACCGTTGCCTGGTACTCCGTGCGCGCGATCCGTCCGGTGGGGCTCACCTCGCTCCGGCTGGTGTGGCCGTCCTGCTTCAGCGAGTGACCCATCACTCCGGCAGAAAGGGGACACTGGGCACCTAGCCCAGCAGTTAGCCCAGCAAGGTGGAGTACATGTAGACGAAGGTGCCAGTGGAGCTACCAAATGCTGCTATGTTGCTGGGATGTTACTGACGAGAAGCTAAGAAGCCGAATTCCATGTCTGGAAGAATCCTGATGCATTACATTCTCCAAAGCATGGCCCATGCAACGAACAGTCTGTGCGCCATAAAGGTGAGGGGGAGAGGCTCCCATTGGTCCAAATATATTTTATTCGATTATATAGATGTTTACAATGATATACAATGATTACATAATTCAAGTCAAAACATGGTGCCTTGGATCAAGACTTATTTCCTCTACAAAGTCTGCTGTCCACTTCGATTCCATCATCTCGCCTCCGCCCCCAACGGTCGGCCCGGTCCAGTTCCATGGTGCGAATGGGAGCGACCACTAGGCCAGTGGTGCCTGGAGGCCCCAAGGCTTCACCTTCACCTGAGCTCCCAAGGCTTCACCGGGAGGCCCCTCTGTTGTATAACTTCCTTCTGTTCCAGCGTCTTTTTTCCCCTTAGCTGAACCTTACGCAACCACCATGTGAGCTTACGCGAACATGGCTTTTTGAGAAGGACCTTACGCAGATCTTGCGCCTCTGCGTTGAGCACACCTGAGAACCATACCCCCAAGGAAAATGCTTACGCGACGACAAGCATGATCAAAAGGACTCTGAAGCAAATGCAGCCCTCGGTTGGCGCAGCTTCTTGACTCTGCAGTGCGGCTTGATTGCGGCTTGTCACCTTCCCTTGGCGTTTGAGAAAACGATGTTTGCATCATTTTGCATCTACTTACTGCCGTGGGCTAGGGCCGCTAAGTTGGCTCAAACCTTACGAGAATCTGACTAACCAAAAGGAGCATTGCAGCCGGCATATTCATGGAACTGCAGGTGGAAACATGACACTTCTTAGGTAGTCCACTTGGTGCGAGGGTGCGCCACGCTTGCTAGATCTGTTTGAGGCTCCCGCTGCTTGTGCCACAACAAAATGACAGCCGACATTGCAGAGAATGGTGGGGAAAGTTCATCCTGTGCTACTTATATACCGGAAACATAGTGCACACAGTTTCAAAGCTCCCATGATCCTGACACTTCCTTTCTTGACAGGGAGGTGTACTAGGAATATGCGTGTGAAAATACGAGTTCATGCAAAGCTTACGCAACATGCATGCCTCACAACTCCCTGATAACCTTACGCATTTTCAGGCGTTTGCATATGCCCAAATTCCACTTGACGAGGCAATTACTTAGTTCATCTTGGGAAGTTTCTTGCGGTGCTCGCCTGGGGAACTGAGGGAACTGGTTCTTTGTGGATTCGGTCTGAACACAATTGGCAAATGGACCAATCTTGTTTTTGGTTTCCTGGAGCTTATTGGAAGAACAGCAAACAAGCCTGCCTTTGTTGTATAAGTCTGTGCTGTGATTTACGATTCAACGCAAGGTTCTCAAAGCAAGGAGACACCTAGAAAGTATGGCTAAGGCAGTCAAGAGGCAAAGGCAAAGATATTCCTTCTCCACCAATCTGGCTGCCAGCTGTGCAACCAGCCACTTTTCCATGCTCGACTCCGTGCCAAAGGCCAAGGGCAAAACCCCTGGCGTTGGTGTGTCCAGTCCCTGCGCATCAAACAAAGGCCTCCTTGCCACCCACATGGCCCACATCTACTCGTTCGTGTCCAAGTGGCGGAAGTCCGGCCCGAGAAAAGGACCGATCAAGTTCGGCGGTTCTCAAACTGAGAAAAGCTGACCGATCCCAAACACGACGACTCGTGCGAGAGTCTTCGACCGACCACGAGTGGCGAGAGTCTTCTTTCTCGGTGTGGGGAGGGCTCCCGGTGAGAGAGAGGAATCTGAAAGTCAGCGGGCCTCCTCACCGCGCGTGTTGAACACCTACAACCGCCTCTCCCAGAAATCAGCCTCGAATAGATAGAAAGGTTTCCAATACATTTTAAGCGAGGATCTACTTTTCTATCTATTTGGGGGTCTATGCATGTGTGCCCAGCTTCTCCAAACGTGTCTCCACAGTCGGCCTGATGTGGGATGGTCTAAGCGACTGGTCACGGACAGTCGGCAGTTGAGGCGGGCGGCCAGGGCAGCCGCAAACCTCCGGCAGTTGAGGTTGCCGGGTAGTAGAGACCAAGACCGGTTGAGCAGTTCCAAGGAGCTGGATGGGAGGAAGTTCCAGTTGGGTTGATCTCCGAAGTTGATAGTTGAAAATAGGGGCCCGGACTAAAAAAGTGATGAGGATGTCAAAAGGCACATCCTCATATATGATCACAACCCAATAGGGATCCGTATATGGTTTAGCTCACTTTAGTTCAATAGTGGTTGTCCTCAACTCATTGTTTTTGTACATTTTTGTACTGCTACGTACAGGGTGGAGGGTGGGGGGGTCAACCCACGTGTCTAGGGGAATCTTGGCCCTCGGAAGGTCTCGAGCAGGATAAAACCCCCAACGACGACGACGACGACGACGACGACGACGAAGAACTGGGTTGGGACTAGTTGGGTTGTAGTTCTCTTGGGGGCAAACCATCGTCTGAAGTCCACCCGTGAGAAACACAACAGCTGTATTTTTGTTGTGGGGGGATCCACACCAAAGAACTGCAAATGGAACATATCTATTGTCAACTATTGTCTTTGAACGTTTAGTAGAGAGGAGTTGTGTCTGTCAAGGGGGTTTGTCCTTGATATCTTTGGACTCTCGCGGTTTATGGATGAGAGCATAACTACGTAAAGTATCGTACAGTAGTTAAATATAGTTAGTATCTATACGGGTGTTCCTTTCAAAAGGGATACCTTTTCGTGTGCTCCAATCGGATCAATCGACTTTCACCCCCAAACGACGCCGAGCGTCACCCAGCAACGGCCGCCAAGGAACTCTTCGGTCGAGGTGCTTTCTGGCTTATTGGCCATCAGAAGGCCGGGCCCTCCAAGCTGGTGGGGCCCAAGCAGGCCGGACCCAGGGAGGTCCGGAGGAGGTTTCAGCAATTACAGGTGCAAATGTGCAAGAAAAACTGCCAGAAAACCATGGGCCTGCTGTGGGCAACACAAACCCCACAATCTAAGATTAACAAAAACGAAACAAACGCGGTTAGAAGGAAACGCTACCTGTTCAATCTACGTAGAAACGGACTTTGGAGTATTCACGGCTGGAACATCCACAAACAAAATTGTGGCCGCTCCATCCTTGCATGATGATCTCTTCTGCAGTGAAATTGGGAACAGCATCCTTCTTCCCCGCCTGCGCTCAGCAGGTTGCAGGGTGAAAAATTGAAAGTACATAAAACTGATGAGCTACAATACAAACTGCAATGATTATTGCAATATAGTAAATGACAAAAATCGAGGCAAACACATGTGTCGAAAAATGTTTACTTTCCGATTTGGGAGGCCACACTGCGGTGACCACAACCTCAAAAATCTACCGCAAGAGGTTTGCTGGATTTGTTCCCCCATAATATGGTCCTGCTGGAACCACGCAGCTACTCACAAGGAATGCAACTTACAGCGGCTGGTCATGGCTGGTCACACCCATCTGATTGTGATTGCACGAATTGTTTCGGCCGCTGAAGTTCTAGATTCTAGAAGAGTAGAACACCCTTAGAAATCGAGGAATCCGCCAACTCCCACATTCAGTGGCGATTGGAGACCGCAGACCAACGCCTTCCAACTGGTCGAAACACTGCAAAGTAGTTCTCTTGCCTCGAATCTCTCAATCCGTGTATGTGTGTATGTGCCACACCCTGTTTCCAAGGGTCACCGACAGGTCTTGCATTTAATTTGTAATTCAAGCAGCGGGGCATGGCCAGTCTTCCCACGTTGCCCAATGAAGTACCGAAGACTGGTGGAAGCATTCAGGGACGCCTGAGTGTGTACCTGCATCTGGATTCCGAAACCTACGTAAGGACAAAGCTGTGAAATTCGGTGTTTTGCAGAAGAAAAGTTCTGATGCACTCGTCCAATGCAGTAACGTAAAGGGCTAATGCATCGGTGAGTTTTACCAGCTGTTCTCTAAGTACTGCTTAAGCTATTCCACTCCTATGTTTTGCAGTCAAGCCCTAATGCAGTAAAGGGCTAACAAATTCGCTGATCCGAGAGAGAGGGAGAGAGAGAGAGAGAGAGAGAGAAAGAGGGAAAGGAGAAAAGGAAAAAAAAGTAAAAGCACAAAAGCAAGTGCTCCTAGCTACGCGCAAGCGTCCAGGGACACACCAAGGAGAGGGGTATACCTGAGTGTTACATTCAGGAATACACCAAAAAGGCAAAGAGAGAAGAAGGGGAGGGTAGGGGGAGGAAAGGGACTAAGGTCCCGACACTCCAACGAGTCTTGAACAAGCTTCGGCCGCTGCGGCCACGTACGCCGTGCCAAAATGGCTGGCAGCTTTGACCGCTACGGTCACGCGGAGGCATGAGCCAGCTTGGAATTCAAAAATCCGACAAGTCTTGGCAAATAACTTTGGCATAAGACTACTGCGCCCGCTCTGGGCACGTGCGTTTCCACGGCATTGGAAACATAGACCAACCCCCGCTCAACGGGTCCACAGGGGCCACTCTGCGGGGTCACCCTGGCTCTCACTAGGACGGACACACTTATAGAAATGCGTACTGATGTGAATGCGGCGCCACACGCCGGCCTAAGCGAAAAACCTAAGAAACCAGGGTGAGTAAAGGGAAAACTCCACAGCTCAACGACGGTGAGTTCAGCACTAGACGATTACTGCAAAACACCCAAGTGGAACAGCTTGTCCATTAAGTAGGTTTCTCTCCAAGCAGGTACGTCAATCCGGCATCCCGGATTAATTTCACAGATGCAACACTGGCGTCTTCGTTGGTGCCAGTCCAGTGTGCATCCCTGGCACCCCCTGCTGAAAGACAAAAGAATCGTCACACTCCTACAGGATCCTGTGATTTCAAGGGGCACACACACAGAAACCTGAGGCTTGTGTTGTTTTTTCCGTCCCAGGAGACATGGACCGATTACACGGCAGGGTGAAACAAACCCGATGGTTTCTTTTCTAGCAAGGGGCCGCGAATTTGTGTAGTGTAGCTACTTAGCTCCCGGTTCAATGGGTGTGAATACTATGAAATATTATCCATGGATGCCTCCGGCTCCGAATCGATCCCTCCTGAGCACCAGCTTTTTGGCTTACTAGCTGTGTAAATATCTATATATATATATATATTATATGGGAAAGCCTGTTTGTGAAAATGGTTTGGTCCAAACGGTGCAGGCCAAAGCAAATACCTTGGGCCAAGCACCATCAAGCAGCACCCCTTGTCGGCGCCTGTCGGCCTGTTCTCATGACCAAGTGGCCGCTTTGTGCCCCAAAGCACGGTTGAACGATTCAGCCAAAGTGCCCACCTGTCATGCCAAGTGGTGCAGTGTCGATGATACAACTCGGTGTCGATGATACAACGAGGGCTTTCTCAAAATGCGGGCAACATGGGGAAATTCCTGACTGCTTTTTCCGGATCGTCACACTCATGCTGGGTAGTAAGTCGTTTCCCGTGTGTCGCTCTTTCTCAGAAGAATTTTAATGTGCTCAATTTCATGTTGGCTCATGAATCAAAGGAACAGGTGCCAGTTCTTGTGTGGAACCGCCTACGGCCACCTCTCTCTGTCTCTCTCGTTGTGGATCACATCCATGTGTATCAGGCCATTGAAAAATAGCACGCAAACAATCTCAATTAATATGTAATTATTACTCCCTATGGATCCACATACCTTCTCAGAAGGTACTTGGACCCTCCAAGCCCACATAAATAGTCTCCAAATACCTTCTGAGGAGGTACTTGGATCCATAGGGACTAATTATGAGCTTTTTGGCTGCCTGTGTAGCAGGCTATGGCTTGATGGATTTCTTGGGCCACGGCTCCAAAAAAGTGTAGAATTTCTGGTTCGCACAGGAAGCTAGGCTGCGCAGCAACATGTTGTTGGACTGCAGGGAGCCAGGCTCGTTACAAGGCAGTCCTATGAATTCCAACTGCATCCTTCCCCGTCAACTACCCAGCTGCCTCAACTGCGCCCGGGGTCATCTGCGCATTCTGCATGGCTGTTAAGCAAGCCAAGGCAGCTTCCTGGGCATGCACCAACTGGACCAAATGCACAATGAATCGCAGCGCATCCGCCCCAAAGCAAACGGAAGAATTGCAAAACGCTTCCCGCCTTCGCTCGAAACGCGAAAGACCCACGGTAAAAGACTTGCGCTGTGTGGTTGGTATATTTGATGGGGGAACAGGGCTCATGACTCCTGAGGGGCTCTGCGTGACCTTCTCACAAGGAATTGTCTGTATCATTCTGTAACTATGTTAAGTAGAAAATCGACCAGTTTGGACAGCTAGGACCTAGATTCCTTTGAAATCGGTCAGCTGTGATGAAATTCCTGGCTGCAGGATTTCTTCTAGGTGGGGGACTCTCTTCCAGCACAGCACCCGGCAGGCCCTGCAGCCACCAGACCCAAGCCATGGAGGATGCACAGCTGGCCAGAGCGGAGACATAACAAACACGACTCATCTTGACCTCGCGAAAAACGGCGCCATTGCCGCCATGTTTGTGAAAACAAATCGGTATGTGCTGGAACCGGGCCTCGTCGTTCCCAACAAGACAACAAAAGGCAAGCAAACGAAACAGGTTGTTACTCTGCTTGGATTCCTTATGACCGGAAACAACATCAGGGATTGGACGTGAAGAGCAGTTCGGTGGTGGAATCCGAGCTGTTCTTGGAGGATCCTCCGAGCAGCAAGGTCGTTGCTGATTCGTGTCTAGGAAGGAACCCCTTGCTTGTGACCCTGTATTTCCTTCAAACCTGATATAATTGTTCATAAGCTCTTATATTCTGCTTAAACTGATCTAGTCTTGCCCTTTAATGCTTAAAAAAAGGTGTTTAAGCACTAAACAACGACCATTAAAGGTTAACACTAATTTCTCTAACCTTATATAATGTAAAAAATATGTATATATATATACATAGTAAAATGAGCTGTTTGTGCCAATGCAGCCAAAGGCTTCATCTGTTGTACATCTGCGTGGCCATCAAGGACAACTCTCACATACAAGCAATAAATTTGTCTGAAAACGTTTTTTTTCTTTGGGGGGGGTGGTAGCATATATATATATATATACGAGACTCATGCCCTTCTGCACAACAACCATATAACCAGAGTGGAGGAATGCCCCTTTGTTACTTTGTTGGTGGGTCCGCTCCCTCAGAACGGAACAAATTCACTGCCGATCTACTGATTTTGTGGTTATAGAAGGGCATAAACCAGGTGGATTGGCGCTTGGCTTGTGAAAGGCCTACCTTACCTGATGTGACTGTCAGCGTCCCAATGATGGTGACCACCAATTGCTCGGTAAGAATGCATAGAACTCCAACTGATATGTGTTTGTTGGCCTTTGAAAAAATTGTATCATGACCTATCCAATTCTGACCCAAACCTGGTGCAAAAAGTTCCATAGACATCTATAGGCTGCCCACTGCATCCACCAAGTGAGCATTCAATCAAACTGCTGGCAGCAACGACACAGCTCGTGGCCAACTTGAAAGTCCCGTACTGATGGCTGAACTGAGGCTGAAGTGATTCGGCTCCACCTGCAAGTTGCGGCCGTGTCAAGTCGAGTCCTGTGGGACAAAGTGGGGCGAGCTGCTACTTCAGCCCCCAACCGGGTTCGTATGCTCAAACTCGTAGTGCTCAAAGCAGTCTTTGTTGGGGAAGGCTTTGCAACACACACAGGGCAAACGGTCGGAGCTGCCAGATTGGACGGGCACTTTGAGGGTAATGAGCAGGGGGGTCCTCCAAGCGCTGATGTTTGGTGGCCTGCTCCTGCCCCTCGCGCCTGTTGGATTCTGGGAATTTGGGGTCCCCGTACAAACCTCTCCAAAAAACGCTATGTCATGCTATCCAAAGACCAGATTCCACTTGACAGTCGGGTGTCCAACACGATTCATGTCCAGACTCCGTGAGTCATTTTTGAACCTGGCAGCAGAAGGGTCTTGCTGGGCGAGCTCGGGCGCGCCAGCCATGTCAGGGCGGAAGGGCTTCCCAGCTGGGCACCCGGCCGAACAAATGTCCAGTGATCATCTGTAAATTCCAGAACTGGCCATGTTTCGGGAAGCTCCTGCTTACTTGAGCATGGTTCCATTGCAGCACGTCCAAAATGTGCTGGCTCTACACATCTCTTCGCTGGGCACGGTCATACAGCAAAGCAGCACATGCCGGGGCCCTTCAAATTCTGAACCAAACAAACTACCCTCCCGCAAACGATCCCTACAGGAACCAGAAAATTGACTGGTGGTTTCGACCACTTTCCGAATACCAACCCAGTGGTTTTGGGGGTCCATGGTAATCTGCAGGGGAGTATATGCCTGTCGTTCCCTAGCGAAAAAAAAAAGCGGTCGTTTGAAGCTGCCGTTGGATAACCCAACGTCGGACACGCCGAAAGGAAAGCGACTCTAAGCGACTCGCAGCGACTCATAGTTACAGTTAACTGTAGAATAACATGACTAACATGTGGTTGATCAAGAACGGTTTCGTTGCATAGGGCGAAGATTCCATAAGGTATGAGGCGAACATTTGGCGCGGTTTTGTGACATAGCCTCAATCGATTTGGATCCATTGGCATATGTTTGGAGCAGCTGTGAAGTGATCTTCAGCGGTATGTCTACTAATTTTAGCGGTCAGTTGAGCCTCATAACTTCCCCCAGCTGAAGCCTAACAAGGAACCACAGTAGCTTCAGTGATGGATGAGAGTGATTTGACAAACCCACAAAAATTACCATTGGGGCGGCCGGGTCCCAATGCAAAATGGTCTATTGGATTCTCTGGGTTCGTGCCAGTGGTGCCTGCATCTGGTACTGCACCGCCTGCCTCTACAAATTGACTGCTGCCAAGGTGCGTCTCGAATTCGACTGCACAGTGGATTGCCATGTAATCATGCAAATGCTTGCCACAATGGCTGGTGACTTTCCCCAACGTTATTTGTTTTTGTAAATTACCCACTGGCCCAGTGGGTCCTGCGATTACACCCACGTCTGGAGAAAAAACAGAACTTCTCCGGGAGCAGCTGGCTAATCAAGCTTGCCTCCAAGCCAATGATCAACAACCCCGACATCTCAGGATGATTCAGGGTGGGTGCTAATAATAGCGACCGAGTGGACTTGGCTGACCTTCCCAAGCAGGATTGTTCTTGCAATTCTGTGGGGCAAACAAACCTTGAACCTTTCAGGTACCAAAACCGTTTTGCAAATCCCCAGCGGTTTGGAGCACCCGGCGCCCCAAACGAACCCGGGCCGAGATCTGTAAGGGCAACCATTCACTAACCCTGGACACGAAAGAATCCGTATCGCACCCAGCATGTATGATGCTCCTGGGGCCCCTTGCCCTGGAACAAAGGAAACGATTGCAGAATGCAATCTATATAATAATAAACATGTTGTCCAAACTCCGAGACACTAATGGTCCCGAAAGCCTTTGGCAGCATTGGACACTTTCAGAGGTGCCAGTTCATTTTGTTATTGATCAAACGTGCGCCACCTATTGAAATTATTCATTTGGGACAAACAGCAGGCGTTGATCTGGCGAGAGGTCGCAAATATCGAGGGCCACTTTTGACTTGTCGTGCATTGCTTTGCTAGATCTTGTTTCGTTTCATGTTTCTTGGAGGGAAGTCCTACAGTAGATTTCTTGAACGTTCCAACAGCATCGATAGCAGCATAACAATACAACACGTACAACATTGCTGGCAAAAGAAAGGTTCCAGGCTGGTGTCACAATCTGCTACCGAACGCCTTTGCATCAAATGAAAGGATGCTTCCAAGTTGCTCAGTCGAGCCGACTGAAACATTCCTCAAAGGAACTGCCGGAAGCGAACGAAGTACACATACAGAAGTGAACTATCCAGACGTTGCAAATGTTCAAACACGCATGGCTTACACCAGATGACACCAAAAAAAAAAAAGCAGCCGGCAAACTCCAAACATTAACAGGACACAACCACCAGGAAAAGGGCTTGCCAGTGCCAACTTCACCCTGATGCTGTCCTCAAAACACGTTGTTTGCTCAGAACAGCATCGGGTTTTTCTTAAGAACGGCTTGAGAAACTTCCATCGAATTCCTTGCAAACGCATCCTCGGAACTCAGAACGACAAACACACGCGCCGATTCTGACAGCACACTCAACCCTCAGAGTGAAACAGTTGGAGCTTCCTTCCGCAAGTCAAGGATGCTGCCTCTCCTGCTTCCGTCGTCCTTAGTTGCGCAGCGTGACCAATAAGGGGAAACTAAATGTAGATCATCCTTGAAGCACTGGTTCCCGGAGAGCGTCTGCTTTCGGTTGCTTCAAAAGTCTCATATTTGGCTAATCTGCCGCTGAATTGGTGAATTCCCCAATTTCTGAGTCTGTCCATGAAATTTGTGGATCGTCTTGAAATGGTTCTTGCTTCATTGGATTCCAGCACTGGACCTCCAGGGACAAAATCACCAGCATGGTACATCTTTCAAGGGGTTGTGCGATCTTAGGGCACAAACAAGGCAGATTTCTAAGTTTCAACTTCCGGCAACCATGACGGCTACACAATTGTATAACTGCGTACATTTGCCTTCTACAAGGTTTCGGGCACATTATCCAAAACAGCTGCCTGGACATTTCCCGCATGCATTTTTACAAAGACCTCACCTAACATTGCTACAGCAACTCTTACAGCAAAACGTCGCCCTCTCAAGGCTAGACGCTTGAGAAACACTCAGATTCAGTAAGGAGAACTCCCCGGACGGGTGCCAACTCTCAAACAAAAGGAATGCCAGCATCCTTAAAGGGAAACATCACTCTCTGAACCCGAACTGGGTCCTGGTCCCCTTTGAGGTGGCCCTCGCACTACAGTGGATTTGCACCTCTTTGGTTTGGGCGATCCGAAGCGGTGCCGATCCCTCCGTTCGGGGATCCTTCGGGCACGTGCGGCGGGAACAAAGGAGTCGTGTGTCTCCATTGGTCTGCCGATGGTGCGGTTGTGGGCACTGATTGGAGGGCGCGGGAGTGGCGTTTTTTTTTCTGGAACACTTGCAACGTGCTGCGTTCCTCTCAAGGTTGTACCCTCATGCACCTTTTGAACATCCATAAACCTTTTCAACCACCCCAATTCCCAATGTAGATTTAGATAAATATTCCACACAATAGCCACTTCCGAGCCTGGCATGGGGCGAGCCCGGCCCTGAGGGAAGACTTATATTTCACAAGCAACAGTCAAATTTAGACAATTAAAAACATATTTATATAGTTTTTACCCCCGAGCCGTGCAAATAGAATATGCACCCTTATTAAAGGACATATTTTCTATATATATATATAATAGTGCACGGTACTATATATATATATATATGTTAAATTATGTTAAATTTAAATGGAAATGAATCTTTTAGAATTACTTGGAAGATTTGGAAAATAGGGGATGCATTGACTAGTCATGTACCTGAAAACATACAAAACGGATGATGTCTGTGCCAAGGAACGTGACTGCTACTTGAGCGTGCATGACGCGGTGTAGTCCTCCGCAGCGTGCAACAAGCAGTCCCAGAAAGCGGGCTCTATACATACATATTTGCACATCTAGTTGAAATTTGCAATATATATGTTGGGCGCTTTCCCTCCAAGTGGCACATCTCATCTCACTGTCGTGTCGTGCTCCGATGCGGACCGAGGCAAGTGACACATGTCTGGTTGACAATCTTAACCGAAACCAGCATGAAATCAAAAGTCCTTGAGCTGCCCTGGATCCACCCAGGAATAAAAGGAGAACAATCAAGATCTAACATGTTTTCCCGGGGCCCCGAGGGACCAACAAGATATTATTGTTGGTATGATGTTTCCTAATGTTGGCAAAGGTGCAAGGCCTGTCGAACATTTTTCACACACAAACGCCCCAAGCAGCACACAGAGAAGGCGGCTCACAGAAACACAATGCTGCCTGGCAGAATCGGCAGCATACACCAAGAGAGCCTGTTGTTTCTGATCCGGCTGCCGGTCGCTAATTTTTACATAGGTCATGGCCGCAAATAGGTTTAATTGTGTTCTCCACACAAAAAGAAATAAAATGGAGCAACTCATGGAGCATTGGGCGTGAAAGCAGGGCATGAACACAGCAAGTCCCTGCAGGCACAGGGAGGCAAGTGATATATAGGTCGGTTGTCTCTCCTCACCTGGTTCTTCCATCATTGGCAACTACACAACGTTTGTCTGTTTTGTCTCTTTCGTCGTTTTTGCACACACATGCGTCCTTGTGTGGGCACCAGGTCACCTGCCGGTGCTCAAATGCACGGGTTCAAGGCTTGATACCACCAACCTTGACCAAGACCAACGATGCTCGGTGATATCGCGGGATGTGGGACCTGGCCAGTCCCATGTACCTGCATTGGTTGTGAGTAATGTGAGCATCGCCCACTTGTAAACATGAAAGGCTGTTGAGGTTTCCAGGTCTGCAGTCACGCTTGCTGTGTTCGCTGTCAGTTTGTTAACCTAGCGGCCTCTAACCTTAAAACGATGGCCTCCACCGGACTCTTTGTTTTTTTTAACTTAGGCTGGCGTGTGGCAAACTGCAAT